GCCCGGGGGACGCAGGCCGGCGTCGCGGCTCCGAGCCGCCCCGTGCGCAGCCCGCGGCGGGGCCAATCAGACCCGGGATGCCGCTCCGCGGGCGAGAGCGGCAGGAAATCGAGGTCAAGGCCCTGGACACAATGGGGCCGTTGTCGGCCTCCAGTGAGCTGACTTTGAAGCAGCAGCTCCCCTTCTGCGCTCGCTCCTTCTTCCCACCCCGCCCCTGCCGGAAAGTCGTCCGAACCTGCAGCGCCGGCCGCGTCCGCCCGCTGGAGCCGCGGCCCGGGTCCTCCGAGGGCCCGCCCCTCGCAGTGTCCGCTCGTCCCACCAGGTGGCGACAAAGCACCGCACTTCCGAGCGCGGAGCAGGACCGGCCGGCAGCTCTGTCGCTGAGCCTGGCTTGGGGACCCTGCCCTTCCTGTTTCATCCCAGAGCGACAAAGTACAAAGTCAGATTTGCCTTCCTTTGCCTTTTACTGTGAGGTCACAGGATCCTGGGATTTCAAAATCTCTTACTTCCGTACACCGCAAAATGGCACTTTTCCTTGGTGGTAAGCAAATCGAAAAGCCCCTTTATTGCCAAATCCCAGCGGGCGGAGCCCCTACTACCTCTCCGCGAGGACCGAGCAAGGGGAGGAATGATGGCTTGTGCCTAACTATCATCTCTGACCCCTTTGCCTGTGCTATGTCCTCTGCTGGTCTCCCTCTTCACGTGCATCACAATCTGTAATTGGGTTATTTCCCACCAGAACAGACGCTGGGTGAAAGCAGGCTATGGTCGGCTTCAGTTCACCAATGTGCCTAGAACCGTGTCAGGCACTCAGCAGGAATTCAGGAAGTTACTGTCAGGATGAGGGTGAATGCTGCCTTTTGCATGATGGGAGTGGAGGTACCAGCACGTGCGAACACGGCGAGGGCAAGGCCTCATTTAGCAGGCTGCTCCTGGCTCGGCCATCCAATGAGAGAAGTGTGTTCGGGAGGAAAAAAGCGCTGGGATTAAGACATGTGCTCTGCGCTCCGATCCTCTGGCTTCAAAGTTTTACCTCCACCTATCGCGTGCTGGGCCACTCTGCACACACATACCTTTCTGAGCTCATGTCACCTGTAAAATGGAAATAAAACTGCCATCTATCTCCGAAGGCCATTTGTGAGGGTGTCAAGAGCTGATACGGGTCATTTTTAGTATCACTATTGGTACTGTGCCTGAGAAAGGAACTTTCCCTGTGGCTAACAGTGTTCAAGGCAGGTGCCAACTGAGGTGACAGGTCTGGGGCTCAGCCACCGCTCTGCTGATCCCTGCTGTTTGGTAGCCCTCCTGGCCCGGTTTCTTCTGTGAACTGGTCCAGGAAGCTGAGGCTGGTGGAGCCGTTTCCTCTCTTTGGGTGGTAGATCTTACTCTGTGGTTAGAGGTTAGATCCATCTCTGCTGCAGTCAGTGCTGGGGACACCCTCCTTCTGCCCTGGCAAATCCTCCAGTTAATCCATGCCTTGAACATGCATGTGTCAGGTGCTGTGAGCCATGCCATCTTGAACTGCTTGTAAGCAGCATACGCTGTGTGTGTATGGGGGGGATGATCACAGCAACACAGAAAAGCAGTATATTCATTTCAACTGTGACAGGGGAAAAGGCAGAGAGAGAACATTACTTGAGGAAGGCACTTGTGGGCTGGGAGCTGGAGGATGAGGAGGAGCTAACCCAGAGACCTTCCCCTGAAGCAGCCACTCCTGGGGACTCTTGTGATGACCCCGCAGAACACAGACTCTTCCTAGGCTGGGCGAGTGGTCGGATGGAGACTGAAAGCAAATGAACCTGGAGGACACAGCCTGCTCGTGGAGTCTGCTCCCCTCCTCTGTGTCACCTGCACACACCCAGCCCTATCCCTGGGGAAGGAGGCGGAGCCTTCCAGGGAAGCGGCCAGAAGATGTCTGCCACAGGATGAAGAAGGCCTGGGGGCCTGGGCAGCGAGCCAGCCCCGAGGGCAGTGTCCCTGGGTGCTGCTGCAAAGCTGGGCAGGGAGCCAGCCAGTGGTTGTGGGTGTCCATCCTTACCAGCCCCCAGAGCATGGGGGCAGCGGAGAGCATGGTGGACAAGGAGCCAGGTTGTTGGGGGAAGGAGCCCGGCTCTGCAGTTTGCCAGCTTTGGCAACTTACTTAACCCAAGCCTTGGTTTTCTTGCCTATAAATAGGGGCAATATACTAGCATCAATCTTCAGAGTGATTTTGAGGATTTAGTGAGACAGTACATGAGACATTCTGGAACACAGTGGGCCCTTGGCAGGCATTATGTTGCTGTTATATATTCTTTCATTAGGTGTTGCATCACCACACTCTTGCCAATTTGCAGATGAGGAACTTAAGACCCAGAAAGGCTGAGTGACTTGATTAGGGTCCTGCTCAAGCTAAAAGCAGAGGAATTGGGACTCAAACCCAAGTCTCTTTGCCTCTACAACCTGTGCTTAGGAAGGAGGTGAGGGAGGGAACAGATCCATGGCTGCCTGTTAAATCATGTTTTTGTAGGCTCAACAGATGGGTGTAGATTTTTCTGGATAAGAATGGAGCTTGTGTCTTTTTTCCAAAGTGCAGGGGTTGCTGCTGGTCCCAGGGGTCAGAGCCCACAGGACTAGGGAGACAATACCACCAGGGCAGTGAGCACTCATTCCCAGGCCTTGCCGGAGCGCTGAGGTCACCCTCAGGGACCTGGCATGACTTCTTTGGCAGCCTGAGCTGTAAATCTCACTCACCCATACCCCCAGGCATTGGTGGTGCCCCTCCCTTCCTCACCTCCTCCAGGAACCTCCTTCTCTCCTCCACCCTCCTGAATGCAGTAATCCCAACTAACAAAAGCCAGCATGGCTACTCTGTGATGCTGAGGCTGGCCAGCTGTGCCGCAGTCAGTGTGCCAAGCTGAACTCCGCCTCTTGCCATGTGCCAGGACACACTGACCTGCTGCCTGTGCCCTTCCCCATGAAAACCCAAGTGGCCCTCATTTTGAGGCATAAGAATCAAACAGCCCTGGGGCGTGGGAGGTGTGAGGGTGATGGACTGTAGAAGCTTCCTGAGGCCAGCCTACTCCCTCTGCAGCTGTGGCGGGCGGCACGAGGCTGGTAGAATGGGCTGTGCAGGAAGAACTGGTCAGATGCGCCGCAGAGCATGGAAGATGCTCCTGGGTGCTTGGGGCCAGGATGAGCTGGCAGAGTGGGGGAAGTGGTGATGTTGGTCCAGCATTGTCACCCTCTGCAGGCTTAAGTGAGGCAGACTTCTGCCTCTGGTACTTTTAAACTGTGCGACCTTGAGAAGTCACTTCACTTCCTTAAGCCTCAGTTATCCAACCTGTTAAGTGGGATTGAACTCTCACGCAGTTTGTGGAGATTAAGAAAGTAAGAACAGGGCTGGGGATTTAGCTCAGCAGCACAGCACCTGCCTGGCAAGTGCAAGGTCGTGACTTCAATTCCCTCGGTACCAGAAAAAAAAAGAAGAATGAAAAACTGGACAGTACAGGTACTTATCTCAGTGGCTGTTGCTGTGGTTGCTGGGGAGGCTGAGTCATGACAGGTGCCTCCAGGGGACAGTCCAGAGGTCACATGGGGGCTTTCCTCCTGGCCCAGTCCTGCTGCGGCTAATACCTGGTTCTTGGGCCTGCAACATGAAGCACGAAGATCTTGGGAGAGCCACTGTCCCCCCAGCCTGATTTCTTCCCCATTCCACTCACTGCTTCTTTGCCTTTCACTTTTTTATTTGTTTGTTTGTTTGTTTGTTTTAGACAAGGTCTTGCTATGTAGTTCAGTTCAGGCTGACCTTGAACTCTCAGTATCTAGCTTAGTCTAGCCTTGAACTCATGGTGATCCTCCTGCCTGGACTCAAGTGCTGGGATTACAAACCAGTGCCACCACGCCAGGCAATTTTTTTGTTTTGTTTTGTTTTGTCTCTTTTGAGACAGGGTCTCACTATGCAGTTCAGGCTGGCCTTGAGCTCACTGTGTAGCCCAGGCTGGTCTCAAACTCGGAACGATCCTCCTGCCTCAGCCTCCGGAGTGCTGGGATTACAGGCGTGCGTCATCATGCCCGATGCAAATTTTTTTTTTTTTTTAAACAAGTCTCACTACATTGCTCTGGCTAGTCTCAAACAGCTCTGCTCCAGTGAGCTTTCCCCGCTTGCCTCCTAAGCAGCTGGGATGCCTTTACCCTGTATCTTTGTCAGGGCTAGAGACCCGCCCCCCTGTGGCATCGGGAGAAGAGCGGGCTGAGGGGAAGAGTGAGGACATGAGGGGGTTCCCTGATGGAAGAGGGAAGGGGCCAGGCTTCCTTTCCGTCCTCAGGCACTGTATTTAAGGCATCTGTCCCTGCCTCCTGGTGCCCGTAGGAGAAGAGCTGGCCTCAAGAGCATAAGAAAAAAGATAGGAGCTTTAACAAGTAAACAAAGCATTTCACCGGACAACAGCGTGCTCAGCCCAGCCGGCCCTCAGACCCTTCCTTCCAGGGCTGTGGGGCTCCCAGGTTACCGGCGATCTTCGTCCTCTCTCCTGGTAGAGGGCGCTGTGCAGGCTTGGGGCTGACAGGAGCTGAGATCCCATCCCTCAGCCCTTACCAGATACAGCAGCCTGCGCAGCGTCTCCTTGAGAATCTGGAGCACTCCACAGTCCTGTTCCTGAGACAGGATCTTCTCGTTTCTCCCGCAGGTGGGGCCTCTGGCTCCACTGCCACCCCTGACGGCTTCAAGTCCTACCTAGTTCCCTCAGAATCTGGAAAGGAAAAAACCCCAGGCCCCAGCCTTTACAGGTCTGGGGGACCCGCGGGCCCGCAGCTCTAGCTCTAGCTGGCTGGCCAGGCCCTGAGCAAGCTGGGTGCAGTTCCAAGGCACGGAGCCTCCAGAGCTGCCGATCTGAGCCGCGATTAGGCTGGAATGTTCCAGGGTCAGGAGAGATGGTGCGAAGGTCTGGTTGCCCCAAGCCCCTCAGGCTGGAAATCCACAGGCCCTGCCTTGAGGGCCACAGACAGCGCCCTTCTCGCTTTCCTTCACCCCTTTCCCAGCAGCCCACCAAGGCTCACCTGTTCCTGTGCTGAAAGGATTCCTAACACCACCCAGTTTGTCTGGACAATTTGGACTCTTTTTCTAAGCCTCCTCCCTCCAGGCAGCCTAGTTGACCCTCCCTTACTCCTACTGGCCGACTGACCCCACCCCCGCAAGTCCCTGGGGACTTGCGCATTCATTATGCTGTCTCCAGAGTAATTGCCTCACAAAGCAAAGAATCAGCCCCTCTGACTGTTGGGACTGCTGGAGGAAAGAGTGTCATCTCTGGGTCCAGGAACTCGAATGTCTAGTATCCCGGGTACCAAATCAGAACAGACTTACGAGTGTTGCTCAGGTCTGCCCACTTTAAGAGTCCACAGTTAGCCCAATGTGGTGGTGCAGCCTGGAATCCCAGCACTCTGGAAGGCAGAGGATCACAAGTTTGATCGGGATTTAGCAAATTATCGAAATCCTGTCTCAAAAAAAAAAGTCCACAGTTTGCTTGTGGGTGAGTAGGGGTTCAGGGGAGACTCCTCTCAAATGCTTTCCACAGCCAGGTGTGGCAGTGAACACCTGTAATCCCAGCACTCAGGAGGCTGAGGCAGGAAGATCTCTACAAATTCGAGGCCAGTCTGGACCTCATAGCAAATTCAAGGCCAGCCTGGATTACATGGCAACATCCTGTCTCAAATGAAACCAAATGGAACCAAACCAAACCATATGGTTTCCATAGCACACCTGAGGCTATCCCTCTGCTCTAAATACTGGATTTTGGGCCTCCTTTCCCTCCACTCAATCCCATCCCCCTGGTCCCAAGGTGATAAAAGCTGGATGGGACAGGAGAGGACTTAGTCGTGGGGACACTGCCTGTTAAGGGACTTTGACCCAAGTTTCCTTTTGCGTAAAACAGATAACAACACCTTCTTAGTATGGCTCTCAGGATGCTGAACGATGGGTAACAGACCCACTCTACCTCTACCCTGCAGGGCTGTGACTGCTGGGGGGCAGCTCTGGGGTCTGGCTTGGTCGGCTATTTGTAGCAGTTCTATACCCTTCTTTCCCTCCCACCCCCTTCCTAGGGTGCTTGACAGGCTCTCGGGGTGCTCTGGGACATGTGGCTGTGGCACATAGGGAAGCTCCTGGGACAAACCAGTGGCTTCCATGGAAGGTTCTCTGCCCATGTGGTTGTGTTTAACTTGGCCTCAGAGGGTACCTCTGTCTCTGTGGGTCCCTCTGTGATCTTATGCCGACTGCCTGCCAGGTGCTGGGGTGCGGAGGCGTCACTACCTAGACCAAAGTGGGCAGTGGAGGCAGACAGCCTAGGGAGCTGGGGGGTTCCACCCCAGAAACAGAACCTGACAACAGGGAGCTGCTACCTCCCTGCCTGACATCTGGAAGCCCCCCTGGCCACCCACAGGCTGCCCTTCACATAGGGCCAGGGAGAAAGTCTGTGTGGGCAGGAGGAGCTTGGGTGAGACCAGAGGCCAGCATGGCACCCTTTTTTCATAATGTGCCTCTCTTGCTAAGCTTAGGGGGTGGGCATGGGAGGGATGAAAGGATGAACCCTGGAGGCAGGGTGTATACCCTGCGCAAGTGACTTCATTTCTCCCAGCCTTATTTCCTACTGTAAAATGGCAATAATAGTACATTAAATGGGATTACGTAACTAACTAATTTGAAATATTTAAATAATAAAATTCATTCATTTTGCTCAGATTGTACACATTAAGTGAACAACAAATTGCTGTATTACTGTTGTCATACATCCTTGCCTGTGTTCCCAGTGTCTACCTAGGACACCTGAACGCTGTCCCACCTAACAGTAGACCTGCTTAACAGTCACAGTACCTCAAAGAGGAGCTCACTGTACTCAGATGAGGGGAGAAAGGCAGCCCCCAGGTTCCATCACCACCTGTACCCCTGCACCCACCACAACTCCCAGTGTTCCTGGGCAGTCCTTGGACTGCCCTTAGTCCTCCTGTGGCTGACAGCTTGCAGACATTTTGCTGTTCTTTTCCTGCATGGGACTCTCAGGCAGGTAGGAAGCCCAGCTACCCAAAGACTGAGTCTCTGGTCCCAGAGGCTATGGCACGCTCCAAGGGGCTACAAAGTGGCCGTGGGGGTAGGAGAGATGCCTGCATGGCAAAGTGACAGCAAGGGTGCCATCTTTACTTGGTGCCATGCTTTGGTTTCCAAAGAAAGCACTTAACCTTTTCTCCCCACAGAGACAACTCAGGGGCAAGGACACCACTGGTAGAAGGGTCCCTACCTCTACACCAGGGTCTCAGGGGCAACCAAATGCAGCTGTGTAGCCATGCTGCATGTAGAGTGGCTGGAGAAGGGCAAGGGGGAGGCTCGAGAGCTGTATCCTGCAGGCCTGGCTGCAGGAGGGAATTCAGTTTAGAAAGCACTTCTACAAGTCCCTCAGCATGTGGAACAACTCAAGGGTTACACGGCCCCCACACCAGTCTCATTTGATATCGTGACACTGGCACAGGTACCTGTGCTCCTGCAGAGGGACCCTAGAGTCCTAGACAAGCCACCCTGAGGCTTTGCCCAAGAACTCAGGCCCATTGGGGACTGTGGCCATATTGTTGCTCCTTAAAGCCAAAGCCTAGGTCAAACTGCCAGCATGGTACAGCACCCTCCCTCACAGCCACCAGTCGTGGCGGTATCGATACTCTGCTGAGGAGCTGGCCCTGCTGAGGGATCCGTATCTTGTCCAGGGGGCACAGTGGGATGCTCAGCCTTCTCTGAGATAGTTCGTGCAGGGCTGGGCCGTGGAGAGGCCACATCTGCCTGTGTACTGGTGTTTCCCGAGGAGGGCCTCTGGCTGCCTGCAGCGTCGTTCTTACCTGGAAGCAGGCAGCCTGTCCCACCTGGTCTCCACCAGATTGTGGAGTGGAACAGCAGCCAAAGCCAGGCAGGACCAGCATCTGGAATGGCTGTTTTGTTGGATGGGTCCTAGATCGGATCTCTGCTGCCCAGGCCCTGCTACTCTTCTAAGGGAGGGGGTTGGGAATGTAGCCTAGCCAGGCCTTGAAAATGGGGCTGAGGGAGGAGGCAGTGTGTAAATGTCAATGTGCCAAAACTCATTGCTTCGCTTCTAGGAGTTCTTTTATTAAACGTTCATTCCCAGCTCCTCCTCTGATGGCTGATGAAGCAAAGAAGGCTGGGTCCCCACAGCCCCGCAGCCTGAAACCCCACCCCTCAGCAGGCCTAGAAACCTCAGTCAGTGACCACAAGGAGCACTGCAACCTCCTGCCTCCAATCAACAGGCAGCAAGGAAAGGCTCCAGCATCCTCAGAGAGGGAGGGGCCACGAGGAGGAGAGGGAAGGTTTGCTGGGTGCGTGCGTGCGTGCGTGCGTGCGTGCGTGTGTGTGTGTGTATGTATGTACAGGCAAAAGGAGGAGAAGTTCCAAACCAGGTTCTCCAGGCATGTGTCCCAGTCCTGTCTGCTCTCAGGGCCCCTCCCACCCGGGGTGGCTCCCCGCCTCCCCACCCATTTTACCTGTGCTCAAAGCTCCTGTGACTCTTTATCACAGCCAGTAATCCTCTGCTTGCTAGGTGGTTTGCTTGATGTCTGTCCCTAGGGACAGTGAGTGTACAGGGTGGTATTAGGATGGCAGGGGCTATACTTGTTTTCGTCACAGTCTGTCCAGTACTTCTCATCCCTCCAGGGCTGGACACACAGAAGGTTCTCACTAGATATTTCATAAGTGAATTAAAGAATAAACTCCTCCAACAGACACCATGAACTCTGAGAAGACAGAGTGATTCTGGCTTATTTTTATACCCCCAACATCTGGCCCAGTGCCTGGCCCAAAGTGGGTGCCCACTAAATGATGTGGGATGGAAGGTGAGTCCAGAGAAGCCCTGCGGATGTGTTCACCCTGTCTACCCCATCCCACCCTTGAGATGGAAGGCATGGCCTGGTCTCCTCTAGGTAGCTCTCCTGGGAACTGAGAAGGCAGAAGGCAGGGCTGACCAGAAGGGGTTCTTGCTGGACTGGCCCTGGACACTTCCAGGCAGGCTGCTGTGCTGGGAGGAATGCAGAAGCTCTGGGGGTGCCAGACCTAGTGCACTCACCTTGGAGAACAGGAGAAAGACAGAGGACAGCAGCAGAGGGGTCCGGTGCAGGCCCAGAAGTGTTGTGCACACAGGCTGTTACCCACCCACATCACCAGAGCCTTCTGAGTATAGGGACTGGTGCCAGGATTCCCACAAATGCACTCTTTAGACCTGGAAGGCCTTGGGGTCACGTGGGGTTCTGAACTTGAGCCTCCCCTTGTCTTTGCACAGCTAGGAAGTCTCAGACACATCTGGGAGCGGAGAACAGCAGGAGCAACAGTAAATCTGTGCTGGGCTTGGAGCTCCCCTGGGTCGGCAGTCACATAGCTGTATCATGGAAGGTGAGGTTCCTCTCAGAGGTGGTGTCCCTGGGGCCTCTGACCAGGAGATCAATGGCTGGGTCTGGATAAATGGGAGAGGAGGTGCCCTGGGGTCCAGGTCCAGGTTCTAAGCAGACTTGAGAGCTATGGATTTGAGTGTCTATTGGACCAGGTGTGAATTGGAACAAGGATGGACACAGAGGTCAGCCCTGGGACTTCTGGCTCACAAGCCTCTGCTAAATGTTTTAGGATTTGAAGCCACAGCTACGTGTAGCTTGAGAATTAATTTGAACTTTAACTCTAGGGGTTGCAAAACTCCCCGAATATAAACCAAACTGAAGTGAGGGTAAATGACTATTATTAGCAGGCAAGCAGAAAGCTGCTGTCTCATGGACTTTCTTTGAAACTAAACATAAACTTGACTTTCTTTTGGTAAGGAAGTATTTCTTCAATGGTAGAAATACTAGAATGGATGCAGGCTAGGGTGTGGACACAGAGAAGCCTTTTCTTTTAAACACTAAAAGGTTTATCACCAACCCTGTCAGTTTTCACGAAGGTTGACTTGGGATCCTAGGCACAAAGTATTTCTCTGTGGAAACAGTATGTTACCGAGTCGGATGATCCCGGGGATGTCGGCCTGGGACAGGGTCACTGGTCTGTGCCGCTGGGGTGTTAGGCAGCCACCTGAGGGACTTCGGGAAATACGGTCAACACCATGAGCTGACTGAGGGAGGAGCCCACTCCTGCAACTATTGTATAAACTCTTCTCCCCCTTTAGGGCCCAAGGCCACACGTGGCCGCTGTAGCGGAGGTCTGACCCCAGGGGTCGTGGCAGGTCGCTGGGCGCGGCTCTCTCCCTCCGCATTGGCTAGGAGGAGCACCGGGCTGGCCGGCGCACCCACTCAGCCAGGACTGCAGGGAGTGGGAC